CGCACGCTCCTTTATTTTCTCTGCATCATTTACGCACGTTCCTTGCGTTGCAGATGCAAGGCTTCATTATAACTAATGACGCTGTAAATTCCACGATAACAATGCTAGATGCGCTTTAAACGCTAGACGCGTTTGATTAATATTTCTGCTACCGCTTGCGAAGGCTGGGTGGCCATTCCGGTCGGATGTGTGTTATTTTTACGTGGGAATCAATTGGAAAATGGTGAGAGGGGAACGCGGAAAGAAAAAAGAAAAAAAGAAAAAAGAAGAAGAAAAAAGAAGAGAGAAAGATTGAAATTCCTGTCGAACAATGGAAAGAATATACGGTTGGTATAGCGGGTATGCGCGATCGTGTGTACGTGTTGGCTATATCGTATAAGTTCGCACAATGTCGTAAATAACGGGTCAAGATTTCAAGAGTACGCCTTTGCTTTCTACGAACGCGAAGCTAGCTATTATTTTCAAGCTGTACGCGGTCGTGCCTCGCGTTTTCCTTCGGCGTTTGTTTCGCCATCGTCGATGGGAAATACTTTTACTTGGAACCTGTTCTCTATTCGATCGATCGTGTCCTAATTTCAAATTTTATTCAAGAGAATTTTATTCAAACGATCAACGAAAGGAGATTACTTAGAAATATAACGAGTAAAGTTTTGTTCATTTTCTACTCATAATCGCAGCTCCTAGCAATGGATTTCAGTATCATATAATGTGTGAAACAGAAATATATTTGGTGGATGAGAAGTTACCTTGTCCTCCCTTGTAGTCCCTAAATTAAGAATAAGCAATAATTTTCTACATATGTAATTTGCAAATTGAATTTAATACGTTTCTGTCGTTCTATGTTAAACAAAGGAGATAAGAAATCGATACAATTGCAAATAAGCGAGGGAAACGTTGGCTACTGGTTCTATGGCTCATGCTCGCGGCCGCGGTGAGCTGTAACGTTGTACTTATCTGCATTCATGAACTTCTATTTTCAATAGCGTGCTCGAACCGTGCCACGTTGTCGATTGCATCTTTTAAATTCTAATATCCATGAAACCGCTTATGGGGAATTACAGTGAAACGCGAAATAACGTTAATCCGACGTAAGACAATGATTTATTGTTACGAATTAAATATGTAAATGATATGGTACAATTAAATCGATCAAGTTCACGACTCATTGGTAAATCGAAAGTCCATTTCCTCTCGCCAATATTATCAAGATCTGCGTTACCCAGTTCCACGTTCCTTTATTTCTACGTATCTTTCAGATCGTTTATGATTCATCTATTATATATAGTAGCACTTAAACATTTATTTTATATAGAAACTTTTACGCACATATGCGTATATGTATCGTGTACAAACGTTTCAAATTTGGAATGAATTTGGAGATTAAAAGTTGTAAAATTCAAATAAAAGTTGTGAGACATTTATATTGAAAATATATATTTAGTACGAGAGATAATATATAATTGTCTATTAGAAATTACTTTGAAATGGCTATAAAAATCTACTAGGAAAATACTAGGTAAATAGAAACGTAGTGTTAAAAAAATCGTTTCAGTGGAAAATAACATTACCTTTATACCTTTCATAGTCGACGAAACTTCAAAAATATACTGCAGCGAAATTTCGAGATACTTCGTGTAATACACGATAATACATTCGCACGAAATTTTTACGAGCGTTCAAATTTTGTGAACAATCGTACGATCTTTTCGACTGACTGACGAAAGGAGAATTCGAGGACAAAATCGACTGTGAACAGTCTAGACGCAGAACGAGTTAAATAAGGTTCCTGTGAATAAAATCGAGCGGGATTCCTCGGTGGGCCAATTTCTTTCAGCTATTATCTAACCTGATTTCTGTGTCTCGCTGCGAATCTGGTAATATCTGGCGCCCCTACGTGGCGAGAACGATTCTTTTCTTTCTTTTCTTTTCCTGTCTCGTCGGTGATAATCGCAGGGTGCCTACACGCGTGACGGTTTTTACAAGTCGACCGGGGAACGCGCAGCAAAATTGAATTTCGACGATCTCTACGTGCATCTTCCTTTTTATGGGATAAGTCGGCGAGAGTAAGCCAGACCGTGTTACGGCCGAGGATAACAAGCTTGCACGTTTGCTCTCGATGGCTATTTCCCCTCGGAGCAATGGATACGCGACTGTTTGCCCTTGCATTTTTACTTTCGCTTTTGGCTTTCCGTTGCCGGAGTAACTTTCAGAGAAAATCGCGATCCTCTTAGATCCTCTGCTAGATAGCAGACAGGACAGAATGGTTGCTGCAAGGTAAATTCTAAATTAAAAAAGAACTGCAATTTTTCTTTATATTTCTTGCAACGAGACGGCATTTGTTTAATCAACAATTCAGAAACAGCACTGAGATTTGTGAAAGATCAAAGGTTCATATTCTCCAAAATCTCTACAATCAGATGTTATGAAAAAAAAAAATAAATAAATAAATCACGAAATTCAGGTTCTACTGTCTGACGAGGCACGAGGTTGATTTTTCTTGAGATCTGCAATCAAACCGATTCAATCCCATTGGTGGCAGCAAGCGTTGCCGTGCGCATCTATCTCATGCGTGGCGATCGTGTATCCGTTTGCACGCTGAAACCGTGCAAGAAACAGAATTCACGCGAGTTGCTCGCGAGACGATATCGTTTCGCTGGCTTCTGTTTACGGCCATGGCTATCCCGTCGCGGGATCCAGTTGCTACGTCTCCGTATGCCTCGTGCAGCGAATCTAGCTTTAATGAATAAAATTGTGTCCAGCGGGATCGGGAATCAACGGAGACCGGCTCCTCCAACCGCGGTTTTTCTTCCTCGCTTTCTGCGTCGTCTCGCAGGCGTAAGAAGCGTAAAAAGTGTACCGCGTAAAGGACGAGTAAAACTTTGCTCCCCTATCGGGCTTGGCCACGGTGAATCAGGATTCACTGTGTACGACCTGGTGGCGGCCGTTTGCTACGCGTTTACGTTACGCGTTTCTTGCGGTTCGTAGAATTACATCGCTGTTGGGCATGTTGACCGGAGAAACAGGAATCTGCGCTTAGGGTCTGGTCGCAGCTTGAGCTTGCGCTCGATGCTCGTTGATTATCGAGCAGCCTGCTGCCCCGTTTTGCTCCTTTCGCCTCCTTTTGCCTGGCTGCCTGTTTGTTCTTCCAACTTGTCTCTGATAGGCGTGGCCGCGAAACCTATCGCTTTAGACGGCTTGTAACGTTTCAGCGAGGTTAGCTGACAATGAGTTCGACGTATATATATATATATATATATATATATATATATATATATATATATAT